CAACTTTTCCTGTTCACTAAAAAATACTTACCTACGGTGATTAACATATATATATATATATATATATATATATATATATATATATATATATATCCTTACTTATAAGTAATAGCATGGCATTCAGGGCGATTAGTAATTAAATGTACCCGAAAGGCGAGAGAGGTTTAGTAAACCTCTCGAGGCTTGAGGGACATTTCATCACTAATCGACCGTAATGCCATGCTATTACGTTGTAATACCATAGTTGCCGAGGGAATCCGCGCGTGGTGTGTTGCCTGTTTTGAATGCTGTTTGATTGTCGTATGATTGTGGTACGAACACTTTTCATATATACACACGCGCAGAAACACATCTCCGTGTCCATTGGCGTTTTAGGCATGCGCATAAACGGAATTTTCTCCCACAATTGTAATGTTCAAGATTAGGGAATAAAAGCTGGCAAAGTGATTGTTCGAATGTGTATGGGACGGTGTCGTCAGATACTGTTCATAGTTGTGCCGATGATTTTTCGATGAGGTACAGCTCTCCAATCAGAGGTAATGAGGTGGTACGCTTTTGTCTTCTAAATTTCCCTCATCAAGCATGCAGGGGGAAATTAGAACTAATTTTAGCACGGGCAAAATTAGTTCTAATTTTGCCCGTGGTAAAACTAGTTCTAATTTTACCTCATGTTTTAGTAATGAGGTAAATTAGTGATTAATCGTACCTCGCGAGACAAAGGATTTCGAGGCAACTATGATATATATATATATATATATATATATATATATATATATATATATATATATATATATATATATATATATATATATATATATATATATATATATATATATGCCCATAATTAACAGAAAAATGTTACGTACAGTGCCAAATCAATCTTATCTAATGTTTTATTCTACATTAACATTTTATTTCTAGAAAGGAGAAATGAGTTTTGATGGTAATCAACCTGTTGCAAACGTAGGCCTAAATGAACTTGTACAGGTTAGATATATAACTTCTTGTTTATATATATTTGTTGGGGATTGCCTCCCTTGTTTCGCCCAACAACTCATGCACAAATTCACAAATCACGTTTAAATTTTAAAAACTTATTAATAAAGGTCACAGGTCACAATGACATTAGATACGTTACACTTCACTGTATCACAATCGATATTAACTCTCCAGTAGACTGAAGTTCTAATGTGTCTAACTAGCTAACATACACAGGCTATATTTATCATAGTAAAATTAATAGGAACTTATTGTGGTTATATGACGAAGTCTATGCGGTTATGTGACGAAGTTTCCTTGCGGAAAATATGCAAATTCATCGCGATTTGATCCTATAGTTTCGACTGCGCCCTGACAATGCGGTTGCATAGTCTTGTCTGTTTATCTCTTGCTTTGGATACGAAACTTCTAGTCTATTACTCTGCACTTTCATTTCTCTTTTGCACGTATAGTGTGTTCATAGCTATATATTTAAACTAATAAGTATATGAATTATCTATATTCTAAAATTAAATGTACTTTGGTCTATATACTATATACGATAATTGAAAGTCTGCGACACACTCCCCCCATATAGCTCGCTAGTCGAGATATATGTATTTTAGGAGACTAGTGTTCTCATGATTATATGGGTCTTCTGATATACCTATTAGTTCTCAACGGTCGCTACTTTCTGATTTCGTTGTCTTGCTGCTACTGCTGGATCTCGTTTTGGTCTGAAGGGTGGAACATCTGGATTCAAGGGTTCTTGATTCTTTTTCTCTTTCTTGTTACAGGATAGTTCCAAGGGATACAAATGAATGGGTGGTCTTTCCAAGAAATTCTTTCCTGCTCGAAGTCTTACTGCTCTTACCACGGCGTCACGTCCCTTGAAAAGCTCATCTACAATTCCCTATTGCCATTTTTCTCGATTCTTCTCGTCCGATTTTATTATAACCACATCTCCGATGTTTAATTCCACTGATTTTGTACCGTGAGACTGGTTATGTCTCTCACGCAGCGTACGCATGTCCTCTTTTGTCCGTCGTTTCCATACGGCGTCCTTGCATCTGGACAATAATCTTGCTCTTTTCCGTAGATCTGTTTCTCCAAGGTGATGAGCCTCCAGCTCTGGCAATTGGTTGGAACCAACAAACATCATGTTGTTTGGTGTAAGGGTCGGCAACTGAATATCTTCCTCAACGTAGCTGAGAGGACAGTTTCTTTAAGGCAGTTTCTACATCTAGAAGTACTTCTTTCAACTCATTCCATTGTAGACATCCACAGCCGATTGTTTTCTGTAATGCACGCTTCACCAGCCCAATCATGAGTTTAAACTGGCCGCCCCACCACGGCGCTCGTCTTAGGTTGAATTGCCAGTATATTTCTTTCATAGCCAAGAGGTTTTGAAGTCCTAGTAAACTACAATCTCCGCTGTGGGCTGTTCCCAATTGTTGCTTTGCGTACGTCACTTCGTCCGCTGGGGGTAATGAGTGATTCTTCTAGTTCCGGTTCATTCGAATGCCAATTATGCAATGTAAATGTTGCATCACTGAAAACCTTTTCTGCTTTCTCTTTCAGCTGCTTGGCTTGTTCCACCGTCGTTTTCCCGCTTATGAGGTCGTCCACGTACATGCTTTTCCGTAACCCACTCACTTCCTCGGGCATTCGCTCTTCCCAGGTTTTGAGGTGATGATCTATGACTCCACCAAGAAGGAAAGGGAAGCAAGTAAGGCCAAACAATGCTCGAGTGAATCTCAAGGTTTCGATTTCACTTAGTTCATTCGGTTTCCAGTGAAACCGAAGTGCGTCTCCGTCACTGCTATTGGATGGAAGCGCATTCTCACAAGTACGTCCCATAGATGGTTTTGAAGAGGTGGACCAGCGTTGAGACAGTCATTCAAGCTTGGTGCATCAGGGTATGCTCGCGCTGACGCATCGTAGACAATTCTTAGGTTGGTCGACTCAGCTGATTCTCGTACCACTGGTTTGTGGGGTATATAGAATTCAGTTCCGATAGGGGGTTTACGCGCTTCTTCGACAATCCCTTCTTTCTTCTGGTCATTAATGATCTCACCATAGAATTCAGAAATGTCAGTTCTCTTCAATTTCTGTGTCAGGTTGGCAAGGCGTCGCAAACTTCCATTTTGGTTATTCGAAAGGGTAGGGTGGTTACCTTTCCACGGTAGACCAGTTTCATACCAGCCTTCTTTGCTTCGAACGAGTTGTTCACGGAATTCTGCGTAGACACTTCCTTGATCATGCTCGGCCAGGTCTTCTAATCTGAGAACATCAAGACGACAAAGTTGTTCGTAATCACTTTGGTTTGTTTGGGTGAGAAGTAATGCGGTATAGTCAATTCCACTACCCTTCGCGATGATGGTCCAACCAAACTTTGTTTGTTTAGCTACAGGTTCTCCCGTTTTTCCCGCCCGAGCAGGCTGGTTAGTTTTGATGCAGATATAGTCGCTGGATCCGAGAATCAAGTGGATTGGTAGCTTCGGCTTTTGGTCGTTTTCATTCATAGTGATTTCCAGAAGGTGGGGATAGTTTCCAATGAGCTGAGGGTAGTTCGGGTTGTCAACTTGCAGAAGTTGGGGTTTCTCTACTTTTGTTACACTCACGTTTATGTTGAAATCACATTCCACAGACTGGACGTTGATTGCGGACAGTTCCATTTCGCGAATCACGGCTCCCAGCATCATTTCCACATGACGCGTCTCCCGATGACAATCACGACGCTTTAGGCAGTTCAACAGAGCAGCTGAAGCGTACGAGCTACCTGTCACTGTATCGAGTAAGGCACGACATTTCACTCCTTCGACATTCACGATCACGACTGGATACACCAACGGAACATGGTTCTCAGCTGCGGTGATCAATTTTTGTTGCACAGTTTTCATACAAATGGACGTATGATGTTTTTTCTGGCAGTTTTGGCAGGTGACACGTACTTTTACAGTCTGATGCTCGGTGTTTAGCACCAGTGCAATTAAAAGCGTACGATTGGCAAGTACTTTCTTTCGCTCTGACACGGACGTAATTTTCGTGCAGTCTTTCGAGGAGTGGTCGCTGTCGTTACAATATATGCAAGCACGCCTTTTCCGTTCACCGTCCTTAGTATGATAGAGATTCGATCGCTGTCCAGGTCGTGTTGATGCGCGTTTGTTCTGATTATCGTCAGAGTTCTCAACCGGATTGATATCTTTCCACTTCTTCAATGCGACAACTAAACGTGGGAGGTCCCAATCTTGCCAGCCTTCTTCCCCGCGAACTAGATCAGCTTTGATCCCTTTTGGTTTCTCAAGCACGTTCCGAGTATTCCCGTTCACTCTTTCGATTTTTCCCAATGTTTGTAACGACTGTACGTTATGCGATAAAATCTTGTAAAATTCGTGGATTTTCGCTGGACTCGATCCGTTAATCACTGGTAAGTTTATAATGTCCTGAATGTAAGCATTGATGATCTCACTCGTCTTGCCGTACTCACTCTCAAGGATGTTCTTCGCTCGTTCATAACCTTCGGTACTAAACGGCAGACCCGCGACTTCCGACCGCACGGTTGGTTCTACCGTTCTAGCAATTCCCTCAGGTATCCAAATTTCGACACGGATGGTAAATCAGTTGAATCTATCTCAGCTTTGAAAGTGTTCCAGAATGGTAACCAATCACAGAATTTACCGGTAAATTTGGTGATTGATAATTTAGGTAATTTCACGTTTTTGACTTGAAGTTCTTTCGATTTTTCAGTGTTCGATTCTCGAGCCTTTTAAAATTTCATTTGTTGTTGCAGAATCAAGTCCTGATGTTCCAGTTCCTTCTTACGCTCTTCATTTTTATGCACCCGTTCTAGTTCTAGTCTCGCCTTCTCAATCGCCATTTGTTTTTCCGTCTCTGCGTCGATAGCCTCGCGTCTATTCGCTTCGTCTTTTTCTCGCTTGGTGATTGTTTCTTCGCTTTCGATTTCTGATAACATACGTCTCACAAGTTCAATTTTTTCCTTCGCATCGATCAGTTTAGTCTCTGTTTCAGTTGCCCACGATTGAACATCTTTGTCACTCTCTTTGTTGGTAAATTTCAGTTCTTCAATCTCTTCCTTTAGTTCATAAATTGCGTTGGTTTTCTTCCTAAGAGATTGCTCGGTACGTTTTAAATTCTCCTTTTCGCGCTCTATCAACAGGTTGTCAACTCTTCCCACTGTCAGATTAAGCGCTTTGAATTTCCCGGTCAATTCGTTTAATTTTGACTCCATTTTCACAGGTTTAAGTTCACTCGGTTTGAATAGAACTTGTCACAATCACAATAGATCCCGTCGGAGGTGCCACTTTGTTGGGGATTGCCTTCCTTGTTTCGCCCAACAACTCATGCACAAATTCACAAATCACGTTTAAATTTTAAATCTTTAATAAAGGTCACCGGTCATAATGACATTAGATACGTTACACTTCACTGTATCACAATCGATGTTAACTCTCCAGTAGACTGAACTAGACCAGGCGGAGAAGGGGGGAATGGTCCCCCGACGGGGAAACTTATGAGACCAAGTGGATTTGGACAATTTGAGGCCGCTGAGTTCAAAAATCGATGGTATACAGGCTTTGGGCGGGGCCTTCAGCCTCGTTTTCGCGATTAAAGCCTCATTTTGGTTCAAAACCGATATCTGCCCAATTGAAGCAAAAACAATGGAGAATTTGTTCAATCAGGCCACTTATGTCAGGTTTTGGGCGCTGAGTCGAAAATTTAATTGTATTGCGACAATTAACTAGGTATTCCGCCTCATTTTCAAGATTTAATGCCTCAGTCGTTTTGGTGAAAAATAGCGCTCTGCACGTGATTGAAAAAACTAAGACAAGGACAAATTTGACTGATGAATAAGAGCAACGTACACTCTAGCAAATTTGGGGTTCTAAATTCAAACTTCAACAGTGGCAGAGAAGATAGCGAGTTAATAACATTATAAGCTTCGTCCACAGTTTTTATAATGCTCCGTGCTTGACATCTTAATCCCAATGGACAATAACAATTAATTTTTTCTATCCAATAACTTTCCCTTTCATCCGTTGGATTTTTTACATCAGTTGTGTCAATAATGTGAACCATAAAATCACTTAAACTCGAATGTCCCTCCCCGAAAAATTTGAGGGAGGAATATTAATGCAAGTCTATATATATTATTAGTGTATGTTAATTAGTATTGGGCCGAAAGTGTTTAAGGACATGGATTTGAACTTATATCGTTTCTGACAAAGGGGCTGTGCCCCGAAACGTATCTTTTATGTACTTATTTATTTATTTGAATATTTGGTTTCTGACAAAACGGCTGTGCCCCGAAACGTATATATATATATATATATATATATATATATATATATATATATATATATATATATATATATATATATATATATATATATATATATATATATATATACACAGTAATTTCAAAAGGGCCATTTTGGCCCCTAAAATGGGGCCAAAATTTTGACCCTGAGACGTTTTA